TTTTTTTTTTTTTTTTTTTTTTTTTTTTTTTTTTATATACACATTTTTTTTTCTTTCTTTTTTGGGGGGGGGGGTTGAGAAAATTAAATGAGAGTAGTAGAATTATTCAAAAATTCAAATTATTCAAAAGAAATAAGGAAAAAAGAAACCAAAACTGAATGAGAAATGAATGGTTTCCATTTGGACTTATACATTTCAATTCCTATTATTTTTTTGTAACTTACATGGACAAAACCTAATGGACTTTTTTAGAAAATAAATGCACATTTTCTGTCTGTAATTTCTACTCTCTAGGCTGGTTTTTTTCAAAATGTAGGGGAAAGGGTAAATGGTGAATGAATATTTAATTCCACCTTCCCCAACTGTTTTGGAAAATATGTCTCATCAACCCCAGCCATCTATGAATTATTGTCCAAAATACCTGCAAAAACTTTCATTAGAATAGCTTGAGTTAACTGAATAAACATTCTTAAAGATACAAAGACTTTTCAGAGCATGAGGGGAAGGTATGACAAATTTAAAGTAGTAGCTTGATTCATACATCATGCCAAACAATGGCTTGTTCAATAAACCACAATAATCTGGGTTGGCACAACATGCTATACCAAAAAAAAAAAAAAAACCTTCAACCACCTCACAGCTACATTTACTGTGTGAACTCAGCAATATTTCAGACTGCTGAGGAAAAATTGTGGTGTACACTATTGTCATGTTGTGACTATATATACTCAAGACTGACAAACTGCAGAACCTGCTCTTGATCTCAAGGATGCTTGAACTACCTGCAAATGTTCTCTTCCTTCCGCATCTTGTTTTTCCAGGAAATGGAAATGAAACCTCCAAACTACTTATCGCATGCTTTGCAGGAATAATGGGTTTTCTTCTTCTGTGTATCATTTTCTTATTCTATAAATATAAACAGGTAAGGTTTCATATTTCTGTATGGAAAGAAAAATGGTCAGAAAATGCCCCAGAAACCAAAAAAGTGCTGAAACTCAAATGACTGGTGTCATTTGGATATGTTTTGAACCACAATCTCCACCATCCCCAGTGAACATGGAAGCTGGGGAGATCGTGGGAGTTGTAGTACAATGTCCTCAGAGAAATTATTCAGAGCAGTGTTGCCTAGAAGGCACATGTATGCCCATAGGCTGAAGAAAGGAGAAAACAGAATTTATCAATACATCATTTCCCCCTCAGAAAAAAAGGGAGGGTGGGAGGAAAAATATATCCTGTGCAAAACTCAATTAAAAAAAAAATTACAATTTAGACAGTCATTAGTACAGCACCAGGAATGACTGAAGTAAATGTATAGAACAGCATGTTTGTGGCAAAACAGGTTTTATTTTATCAGAAATGGCCTAATTTCTTTTCTATTTATTTTGGGAATTTAAAATCTCACTGCTTTCACCTCAAAATGATGAAGATTCTCCTAATGGCATTTTCTCTCTTATTGGCCTCTTTTCCTGTAGCTTAGTATCTTAGGTATGAAGTGAGGGCCAATTCTTCAGGAACAATTTTAATTTTATTCGTTTTAATCTGTGAAGTGATACTAGTTTATTAACCATTACATTGTTGAACAGATATTGTAGATATATGTTGCTTTTGTTTAAAGGTACAGAACTGTGTGCTTATTTATAGAAAGACAGCTTAGTTTTCACAAAACTCACCAATGTCTTTTTTTTATATATATAGTTTTTATATCTTTTTTTCTTTTCCCCCCTTTATTCTTTAATGGCCATCTTTCCTTCTCAGTTCTTGCTCTATTTCTTAACTTTCCGCTTCTCCTTTTTTAATAAGGAAATGCTCTATTAATTATTTATTCACATTCTAATGCAACAATCTGTCATTTTATTAGAATACCATAATAGGATTGGGCTGGATACAACTATGCCAAAATGCTGTGAAACAATGCATGATTCCTAAATAAAATGTTTTCCCTTCTCAGAAACCAAAATATCAAGTCCACTGGAAGATCATTGAGGCCTGTGAAGGAAACAATTATACCTTTATTGACCCCACCCAACTTCCTTACAATGAGAAATGGGAGTTTCCTAGAAACAACCTGCAATTTGGTGAGGAGCAACTCTAGAATTTTTCTCTCTGAACCATTTGACCCTACTAGCAGATCGGATATTGAAATTATACAAACAGTATGAAAATATCTAATCATTGAGTAGGATTGTAGCGTTGTTTATGCTGAAAATGTTGAGGTTTTATACAAACAGAAAATGTTGCCAAATAAAATTTAACTCTTGAATCCAAGTGTAGATAGACTGTAGAATATATATACAGGCAGTCCCCGGGTTAAGAACAAGATCCATTCCTAAGTCTGTCTTTAACTCAAATTTGTATGTAAGTCAAAACGCGTATTTATGACAGGCTGCCTATTACTAAAAATGGTGGACGGCGTTCTCCTTCCTCGAGCCGACAAACCACTGAAGCCGTGTAATGTTTTCATGAACCGCTGAAAACCGACAATATATTAAAAACATGCAGTATGTTTTCAAGCATTCTCTCTCTCTCTCTCTCTCTCTCTCTCACACACACACACACAGAATGAAAATCCTTTTTATTCTGTTGTGTTTCCAATTACCCTGATTACTTCAGTTTACACCCTAAACAACAACAAAATAAAGAACTTTTTTTCAATCACTTCTTGAAAGTGCAGAAGGAGACATTCTGATTCTTGGAGATATCAATGTTTTTTTTCCTACAAACATGGATAAATCTGCTTTATCTAAAAAGAATGCAGAGAGTGTTTTTGATCATTTGAAATGGTCTTTCATGCTTACAAGACTGAAGAAGATGAATTGTGGCTCCAACTTCTTTTACATGGTTATAGAGTATTTATAAACAACAAGAAGCCAAGATCATAGTAAATGAATATTTATGACAAAAATGTACTCATATAAGGAAAGAGACAGGAGAAGCCTGTCCCCTTTCTCCTTCCTTATTTCCACTGGCAAAGAAGGTATGTCAAGAAAACAAAATTTTGGAATTAAATTAGAAACTCAGGAACTGAAATAATACACTGCTGATATTGTACTTACAACCAAAAGACTCTTTAAAACTGATAACAGAATACATATAGCAATATGTTTCAATATCAGAATATTGGCTCAATAAGGGCAAATATTGACATGGAACAACTGAAGAAGAAAAGCAATATTTGTACCAAATAACAGGATTTAATCCCAATGCTAAAAAAGTGAAATACCTGGGAAATTACTTGAAAAAATTAATAAAGACCTATTTAAAAATAACTATTCATGTATTTGGAAAAAATAATATAATGGTAGATTTTTTAAGATGGAAAAAGATAAAACTGACTCCCATATGAACTGCACAAATACCTTTGCTTTGTTTTTAATAATGTTATTAAAAATTTTAATAACAATAGTAAAAGAAAATACAAACTAAACTCAAAGAGAAGAGAAAATAAAGGAAAAAGAGAATAAAATGTGTACAGAAAGAAAAAGAAAATAAAAGAAAGGGAAAAAATATTTTAAAAAGTAACTTCCGATCTTCATCACAAGTACAAACGTAACAATTCATCACCCCTTATAAAGTTACATATAAGTATCTCTTCTTCCTATAACCTATTCCTTATCCACATGCAAACCCATAAATCATTAACATTTCAGTCCTAGTGTCAGCAAAAAGTCCATAAAGGGATCCCAGATTTATGCAAATATGTCTTATTTTAACCTTGGTCAAACAAACCAACTTTGTACTCCTTTCTTTTGCTTATAACAATCTTAATCTTTAGTTCATTTAGATGCTGTCATAAGATTTGATCTCCATTCAATTTTTCTTTTTCCCATCTCAAAAGTTTGTTCAACTCTTTAACCAACTTCTTTTGTAAGTCCAGTAAACAATCCCTATCTGGGTCAATCTCTTGGCTTGTCATTTGTATTTCCACTTTTTGTTTTCTGTCTTATAATCCATATTTTTTTTATTTTTCAATATTTCTCCAATTCTTTATGTTCTGATATTTCTATATCAGACAAAATTTGTTTCATCTCTTTATCCTGTAAATCTTCCAAAACGTTCTCTTTCACATCAGTGATTTCTTCTTTAATATCTTTTGAACATCATCTATTCATAGAAACAGCCATTATTACTGACACTGAAGCTGCTATTTTTTGACTCCGTTCCTCAAAGATCTCCTGAAATATTTCAAATGCCATAACTTTTACTGTCATTTTACAAGTTCCAGTGCTGAACAACAACAAGAGACAGTGTTCAATTTCTGAAATCATAAAGTCTCAAATTACTGTTTTGACTTAGGATAGACTAAGCAAATTAGTTTCCACAAAGTTGCTGTTTATTTGTATAATTATTTTCAAAATCTTATAGCAAAAGTCTTAATATTCCATTATCCAAGTTAGACTGGTTGCTTAATTCATTTATAACTTTCTTAAATCAAATTCTTATTTAGATTTTTGCCATTTATTTCTAATTCTTCAGGTTCTTACACTTATTTTTTCTTTTGTTCAAGAATGAAGGCAGACTCACCAGGTGGCTTTTCATACTTGTTGTTTTGAAGATTTCTAATATCCTTAAGGTAGTTAAATAGATAATTTACAAAAGTGATTAGAAAGTGAAGTTAGCAAACTCACAGAGAATGTGATGGTTCCCTTCATATCCCAACACTCAAACCTGCAGGAAACCACTGTCCTGCGGCCTCCTTGCAAGAAGCTGCCATTCAGAGCACAAATGGATGGTCTTCCATCCTCTCCTTGTCCAGAGGGGTTCCGTGGGACTGGTCTACTCACACCTCCTTTGGTCTTGGATAGCCGTGGTCATCCATGCTAGTTTGCCATTCCTCACCCAGAAGTGCCCATGAACTGCACAAATTCCTTTGGACTGGTAGAAACATAAATAAATAGCTTACAAGAGATTATGTAATGATAAAGAGTATATTAAATGTTTGGGATAAATATAGAAAAGAATCAGTCCAGATTTATCACCTTTTGCCTCATTATTGAACATTTATTTTCATGAAGAGGAAAGCACAATGAAATTTGCTCCCTGAAGAGACAACAAATCATATAGTCTGCAAGATCTGATCATTAATAAGACAAAGATAAAATCTTTTAAGGCTCTTTCTTCAGAATAGTCAGAACCACCCGACTGGATTTAATATCTTGAAGAAAGCAATATAGCTTTAAAAGTAGTACAAAAGTACTACTTTTAAAGCTATACAAAAGTACTTTAAAAGGGGGGGGGGAGAAATAAGTAGTACAAAAGTACTTTAAAAGTAGTATAAAAGTAGTACATCAAGTGTGGGGATGGCTAGCCCCATAGAGGGCTGCTGTCTTCAGCCCCAGATCCATCATCTTCTTG